TTTTTTTTTTTTTTTATACTGCACAGTGGCACAAAATTCAGACAAGCACTATTTTGTATTTAAAGTTGTTTCTTGACAAGCTAACTTTGCACTTAAGTGCACTTTTATGAAGAAAAAGTACAACAAACTGCTTTTCCTCAAGCAATAATTGTTTCCAACTTGTCTGGGAATTGTAAGTCTAGTGACTCGAAGGCCTCCCACTGTGGCAAACGGAGGCTGTTCACTGCCTGTAGAGACAGTACAATAAGCATATAGTCGTTGGGTTGATCTAAGTAAATGTGGTAAGGCTTACTGTATTCCCTGGTATTTTGTTAAAGCTGGAACATTTGATATTTTTCCATTTATTTATGACAAATATTGAACCTATTTTCATTTGTACAAGCTAATTGTTTTTTAACTGCTAAGTCACCTTATAGTGGCTTCAATTGTATACGTCAAGCACATGTATTCAATTCAAAACCTGCAGTGAGTAGGATGTTTGACATCAGTCCTGATAACCAAATACAAGGATTCCTTTAAAAAACAAAAAAAGACTGACTAATGTTTACAGGTTTGAATTAGGCTTAAATAGGTTACTCTGGGTTTTAAGAACCCATTAATTGGAATGAAACTACTGTACTTTGCCATTTTTCTATAAAACAGTATTTTTTTTTTAATTTTGATAAAATACATTATGAAAAAGAAAGAAAATGGCTAACAAACTGTATTAAATCTTAATGTATAAAGATTGTATTTAGCCAGTTTAAAGTGTATATTTATTCATAATGGATTATAACAGTTATATTTTTGTGTTTTCTTGTAAATGTTTCTTTTCCCTTAAAGCAACAAATATTTCATTTGTAATGCTTATTTTATTACGAGCTTCAAGGAGAGGAATTCAAGACGGAGTAAGGTGTGAGGTTATAATTTGTGGTTGCTGATATGAACACTGCCACAAAAGGGTAGTCGTTTTTAAAATAAATAGCTAGCTGAGTGGTAGACATTTAATTTTTTAAATGCCTTGTACAAATTCCAAAACCAACTTCAAACTGTTTTCACTTGTATTGATTTTATGTTGTATGGATCCCAAGCTCTCTCCTGTTAATTATATACCTTTGTAAGACATTTGTATATTGCGGAAGTGTTCATTCAAGCTATTTAATACCTGGCACTGTTAATACACAGTACTTTATTGTACAGATTGTTTTACTGTTTTAATTGTAGTTCTGTGTACTTCTTTTGCCTGGGGAAATAGGGGCTGGCATGTTTTTCTTTGTTTTCTGGCAATACAACATGTAAGAATTCAAAGCATTTTGTTTGTAGATGCTAGAGTGTCAGAATCCTTTACATTTGACTTTTCTAAGAAAAGCATTTTCAGTCTTCGTAGTGTGTGCTTAAGGTTAACTGATTTTATTGAAAATGGTTTCAAAGTATTCAGAATTGTACAGGACTGTAAAAATTTGTTGACAAACATTGAAGGAAAAGCTTATAGAAAAAAGCTATAAAATATATATTAGGTTCTGCAGAAAATGGAGAATTATGTAATATATTGTACAAATGTAAGCAAAGGCCTCTGAAATAAAATGCCATAGTTTGTGAATCCCTGATTTTGTTTCTAACAGTTTAATTAAGCAACCATACCGTGTTCATTAAAATGACATCAAGCTGCAGAATCAGTTTAGCAAGTGATCTTTGATATGGTGTAATAGGCACATTAAGATAAGCTAGAGCAGGTACATTGGCCTAATTTTCCTCGTAGTGATTAATTCAAATTCATCCTCTTTTTCAGCAAAATGAGAAAGCTTGACCCATTGAGATCATTAAGGCAACGCCGGTTGAAAAAAAGATGAATTTTGATTCACATTAATTCAGGTAGTTTGAAAACGCAGAAGCAAGCGGCCGAAGATACTTGCTGCCTTCTGGTATCGACTGCCTCAGGTTCAGAATCAGTGGGAGTGAAACTGGAATAAAACTTTAGTGTTATCCGCTGACGTGATGCCTGGCTGTAGTTCAGTTTACCAAAATACTTACCAACTTTTGCAGTTACAGCTGCAAAATGACAGTTTACTGATGAGACTGGTTGATAACAAATGATTATAAGCTTTGGAAACATTGACTGTATTAATAATTACCAGGGATCTGAGACTGACAGGAGTAATTTTAATAATTTCAGTGCAGCTACTCAGAGTATATTTACATATGTTTAAGGAGAATCAGTCGTAATAGTTCAGCTCTGCCTTTCAGTCTCAGTAGGAGTGACTGGTATTGATTTAACTGAGAACTACATCTGGGTGAACAAGAGCAAATTCGGCTCTCCACTCACTAATAGCTCTTGATCAGCTCTCGGTTTTACTGCCAACATTTTTGCTTTGAAGTGACAATTGTTGACTCATGTTCTATGAGAGGATTTGTTTGTTTACTTGTTTAAAACAGGGATCATTAGTCCCCTCCTCACTTTCCAATTGAGTTTTTGCTCAATTTTTGCTGCTCTTTAATGCAGATTATTTACTTTTTGTTGTACTTCTCATGCAGTTTGATGACTAATCTCTTCTGGATTTTTTTATATTGCACCTCTCCTGTGAGGTGTGTCTGTAAATGGTGGTCTCCAGATTCCAGTTACTTGTGTCCCAGTGGTTACAAAGGAAGGTACCATTGGCAAACTGTTAGCCAAGCAATTTTTTTATCCCATGTTCCAGTGAGTCTAATCTGAGCTGCTTTTCAGGTTACATACTGTAACACAGCTTTAAACGTGGGTGTGTGCCCTGCTGGGCATCACACTCTGCTTGCAGCTGAGAAGGTTTCCCAGCAGCAGTGGTCGCTGGGCTGTGCTCCTACTCCGGGGTGCCTGCTGGGACCATGAGCTGAAAGGCAAAGCGAGACAAACCACCCCTCCTTGATCCTTTATGCCGTGGCTGAGCGATTGATTCAGTTTTGCATGTCTCGTGTCTGATGGTGTTGAGACCAGCTGAGAGTGTAGACTACCCACACATGCTGAGAGAAGGCATGCCCTGCTTGAAGGCTCTCTGCATTGCTCCCGACTCCTGTTTTTTACAGTCTCCACCAATGCTTCTGTACTTGTTACTGTGTCCTTTCCATCATACTGTGAAGTTTCCCTGTCACCTCAGGGCTCAAACTCACTCTCTGGCAGAGTTTCTAGAGGCTGCGTCCCTTCTCTTGAGCTTTGGTAATTGCCTGTCCATGAAATCAGCTGAACACTTGTCCAGTGTAGTTTTTGATGTATTTTGGTGGTTCAGCCTGTTCTTCCCCACCCGTGTCGCCTACACAACTGCTCTGTTGTGTGAAGGTAGATGGGAGAAGCCAATATAAGCAGTGCAGCAGCCACCTGCCAGTTCTAGGATTTGTGTCTTCTCTTGGGCTGACCCCCAGTGAGAGTCCCTAACTTTCCCAGCATCTAGAAGGCCAGACACGTGATGCCTGGGGCATGTGTCAAGAGTAATGCTTTGTCTTTCTTCCAGAGCTGGATTACTTGTTTTGCCTTCAGTTGGACACCAGTACCAACAAAATTGCTAATGCTGGCAGTTCAAAAAGTGCATAAAATGTTACAACAGGAGAACTGTTCATATTTGCTTCAGCCTTTAAGTGCCTGCTAATTTTCTGTGCCTTTCTAGTTACTATCACACCATCTAGTGCTTGAGATTACATTCTGGACAGGCTGGTCTAAAAGGAGATCCCAATTAGGTGTCTAATTTCAGAGAGTTAGTAACAGATCAAACTTCCTGAGGTATGAGCTGCACTGGGGCCTGGGTTGGAAAATGATGTTTGAGAATTAACACAACCAAAAAAGGGTCGTTTCCAGTTGTATCAGTTATCCAGCCCTATCCATGTTATCTGCAGCAACAAGATGATCCAGAGAACTTAATTCTACTGGCTGTTGAGTGAAACTGGGGGAAGAGAGACGACTGGTTCCTCCTTTTGCTGTCCTCCAGGCTACAGTCCTTGCATGCCCACAGAAGTACTGGGTTTTAGGGGTTTTCCATAAGGAAAATCCGTACACGCTTTCAAAGCCTGCTGTGCATCCCAGGTACAGCTGAAACAATCCAGAAGGAAACTGGCTGCCCAAGTGATGCTTTGGGATGGTCCCTTTGGTTGTCTTAAGAACTTCTTGAGATGGTTTAAGCAATGACTGCTTAACTCTACAGTTAAGAGGCTCTGCACTCTTCCTGTAACGCAGTGTTGTTTGTAAGGAGTCCATCTCACACCAGCAAGCCTGGCTTTGGAGCTCTTTACACCCTTCCACCCCCTGCATTTTTTTAACCCTTTCCCAGGTTTGTCTCAAGGTGAGCCGCTACAGAAGGGGCTGCGGGAGCACTGGGAGGATGCCTGCTGCCCCTGAGCTTGGGCGTGAGGCCAACCACCCTGGTGTCCCACACGTCAGTGGGGTGGACCTTGAGACAGCTCCTTCACGTGGACTTTGGGCCAGCCTTCTAGCAGCAGCACTGCCGGGCACAGGCCAGACTTTTTCTTGATGGTTTCTGTGCTCGAGAAGGAGGACATCCTGCACAGAGTTTGGCTGGGGCTTAGGAGGTTGGGTTTTTTTGTTTGGTCGGGTGTTTTGTTTAAACTTCATCCCGGCTGCGAGCTGGGCAGCAATGGCGGAGATGGATTCAGGTGGAGAAGTGGCTGTAAGGAGCGCTCCCACAGCCACGTGGGGCACAGGAAGTTATTTTTTCTCTGTAGACAACAGCGGGGTTGTTTTTTAAGCACCTGAGGTGCCCCAAACGCTTCGGTGCCTCCAGATAGAACCAGCGGGAGCGGACAGAGGCCACCACAGAACCGACCCGGGCAGAGCCGAGCGCTGCGGGCCTGCAGCCGGGGGTGTGCGGAAAATAAAGGAGACGACTTCCCCTCTCCCGTCTCCTAATGCAGCGTGTAACAGCCACAGATGACGTTGTATGTTTTTAATGACGTTTCACGCTGCGACCGGGCCCGCCGGAGCAGCGCCCGCCCCCGGAAGTGACGCGCCCCCCACGCGTCCGTTCCCCCTCAGCCCCGGAGCAGCCATGGGGAGCCGGCGGCGGGCGGCGGAGCGGCGGGAGGCGCGGGGCCCGGCGGCGGAGGAGGGGTACGCGGTGGGGCAGGTGGCGGACAGCCTCGGGCCGGGCGGGGCGGCCGCCGCGCCCCTCGCCCGCCTCTTCAGCGCCGCCGCCGCCCCGCCGGTGCTGGTGGCCGTGACGGGGGTAAGTGCGGCGGCGGGTGCAATGGCAGCGTGTAAAACAATTGGAGGGCGTTTCTGGAATTTTGGTGTTTTTTCTTTTCTTAAAGGAAAACAAGAAAAGAAAGCGTACAGAAGAAGTCGAGAAAGTGTCAGAAGAACAGAGCTCCCCTGTCGTACCGGAGCCTGCTGTAAAAGCAAAGAAACCCAGAAAGAAGGAACTTTCAAAAGCGCAGAAGAACCTGGGAAGCAGGTGAGTAGGCGATACCTCTTTATAGTCAGATTTTAAAGAAATAATGCCTAGATTAATCTGAAGATTATGAGTTCAGTGAAACAATAAAGTTCTATTCTACTATTCCTCTTGAACCGTGTGTTTGGGAAAGTTGTTGTTAAGAAGATTGTGAACGTTTTCTGTCGTTTTCCCCAGAAGGTAGTAAATGCTTGGAGCTGCTTGAAGTTGAAGGTCTGTGAGGTGCAGGTCCCCTGTGGGAGAGCTCACAGGTGGAGAGGCTGTAGGCTTGGAGGCAAGGTTGTCCCTGGGGTGGGGTGATGCTTCCTGGCTGTGTCTGGCTTTATCCAGCCGAGCCGCGGTGGGGGGAGCAGGGATGGTTTCAGCAGGACACCAGGCAGAGGGGGGTGTCCTCAGTGCTCTCACCTGCTGCTGTGACACAGAGTTGCTCTGCCCCACTGTCCCTTCCCTTAAACACGTGGGGCTGGGACAGGGCACAGTCGGTGCAGGTGAGAAGCTGGTCTCTGTGCCGTGAAGTCTGGGTAACAAAGTCTGCTTGGTTGCAGCTCGAGGGTATCAACGCTACATCCCTCCTCTGGCACTGCCTGTTGTTGCATCTTCCATGCCCGTGAGACTTTTGGTTTGGTGTCGATCTCCTTTCAGAGGCTTCTTCAGCTCTGCTTAATGTGCATGCTGTTAGGCAAGCTTGGATAGATAGAGATTTGCTAGCATACAGGTATCACAGAAAGGTTAGAGTTGGAAGGGACCTTAAAGATCATCAAGTTCCAGCCCCTCTGCCATGGGCAGGGACACCTCCCACCAGAGCAGGTTGCTCAAAGCCCCATCCAGCCTGGTCTTGAACATCTCCAGGGATGGGGCATCCACAGCTTCCCTGGGCAACCTGTTCCAGGGCCTCACCACCCTCACAGCAAAGAATTTCTTCCTAATACCTAATCTAAATCTCCCCTCTTCCAATTTAAAATCCTTTGTCCTGTCACTGCACTTCCTGACAAAGAGTCCCTCTCTGGCTCTCCTGTAGGCTCCGTTCAGATATCGGTAGGCTGCTATGAGGTCTCCCTGGAGGCTTGGTAGATCCCAAAGGATTGTCTGTGGTCAGTGCCCTGGATAGTGGGAAGAGTTAAATCTCTCCTGAGTTCTAGCCTGCGACGACTAATCTCTCCCCGCCCTTCAATGTCAGAGGGTATCAAATGATTTACTTCTGAATTCTTTATTGCGCCCACTAAAGAGCGATTGCAGTGTCCTGGGGACAGAAAATAGTTTTTCATGTTCTGGAATGGTCATATGTGTTTGTTTAATGCATAATAAACAAAATAATGTTTGAAATTTTATGTTAGACAGTATTTAAAATATAAGTTAAAATATTTAATTTGGAGGCTTCAATTCATTAACCTCAAGAGCGCTGTTTTTTTCCTCATCAGTTATAATTTGCTTGTCTTTTTCTGGTTAAGAGAGAGCGCTTTGCAGCGGGCAGATGAAGAGGAGGAGCAAAAACTGATTCAAAACAAAGCGAAGCAAAAAGAAGGGGCTTCTCGTGCCGTCACCAAAAGCATTGTTAATTCAGATACAGGCACTACTGCCAAACAACAGAAGAAAAAACAGGTGATTGATGAAACGGTCGACAGAAGAACAGTGTTTGTTGGAAACTTGCCTGTCAGCTGTACTGTTCAGGTATGTGAGTGGATTCTGTCAGCTAAAGGAATTAAAAGAATTATAGCAGCCCTTAATTTGAGGGGATGTTTCTGCTAGAGGTCACATGTATTTGTGATTAAAACTGCTTTGTGGGAAAGTAGGAAATAATGCTTATTGTCAAAAGCCATTAGAGGCGATCTCTTCAGTTTTACCGGAGTTAGGATTTTTGCAGCAGTGGATGCAGTTGCTGTTTCTTTAGCAGAATTGGTTAGTTTCTTTTTCGGCGTTTTAAATGCGGCTAAGACTTTTGATTGTTGTATAAAATATGTTGAATTTATACTTTCTTAGTAAGGGGTACAAATTCAGTTTTGGTAATCTGTAGAATAAGAAGCTGCTACAAGAAACACAGAAGCAGTTACAAATTACTTGCATATTTTTAGTAGCCCTTTAACAGACCTTGTATAAGTAAAATAAAAATAGTGGAAAAAAAAATAATTTTACTAATAAATATTCAACATTATTTTTTATCACCAGGATGCAAAAATGTATTGAATATTTGTAATATCTTCTGTTTAGGAGCTGAGATCTCTTTTTAAAGAGTATGGACAAATTAAATCCATTCGATTCCGGTCTTTGGTAGGTTATTTCCTCTAATTATGTTTCTGATCTGATAGGGTAGTATTCATTGGGTCAGAAGCAGATTTCAGTGTGTATTTTTTCCATTAGAAGAAACCTTGGAGATGTTAGCACAGAAACACCACAAATGCATCTTCCCTTTCATTGTGTTTTACTCTTCCTGTAGCTGAAGTTGATACTATCACAGCTGTATTTTCTCTCTCTGTAAGAATAGTGTTTTTATTATTGCTCGTTTAGCAAGAGGTATTACTTACCTGTTTTTAAATAATAGTAGCAAAGATACGTTGATTGTACATCAGTGTACTCTGTAAAATAGTTGAAGAGAGCAGTCTTGGAACACAAGAAATGCAATAGATGAAGTCAAAGCAAGCTCTCTAATTCTGAGGTCTTTCTAGATCATCTCTAGGAATAGCCAGTTCCATCGTTTTCTCACTGTACTGGCCACATTGCTTTGGGTGGGAATGGTACATGTTTGAATTCTTCTTTTGTTTTCAAAAACAAATATTTGAGATAAATTGACAGCAGGCTCACTTAACTAAAGCTTTTTTTATCTTAAAGGTTCCAGCAGAAGATGTTTTATCCAAAAAGTTAGCAGCAATAAAGTAGGTTCCTCTTGTGAATTTTGTGCTTTATTTTTCAAGGCAAAAATAATTTTTTAGTACTGGTTGTTAGATATTTGGCTATATTATCTTTTTAATTTTGTGTTTCTTTGACTTCTGTAATTATCTTTGTGTGTATGTAAGTTTTCTTGACAAAGACGTGAATAGTCTTTAACTCCTTCTGATGTATTTATGAGTTGAGGAAGGTTGATGGGAGTGCCTGTGCAGATTGTGTAAGACGCGCAGTGAGACTCCCTTGGACACAAGGGTCTAGTTCGGCCTTTGGGAGAAGTGAAGTTGTTCCTGTGCACGAAACGAGGAGGCATAAATGTGTTTCACAATAAGTGCTTGTGCATTGCACACCACCAGAATGATTTAAACAACATGTGTTTCTTTCATGTTCCAGGCACAAGGTGCACCCTAACGCGAAGTTCATTAATGCTTATGTTGTTTTTAAGAAAGAATGTGATGCCATTAAGGCTCTAAACGAGTAAGTCTCAGTTTTGTTCCTCATTCCCTGTTAGATTTACAGAGTGTTAAAAGTTAAACTACCCCCTCTCTTTTGCTTGAAGCAGAATAAAATGTTTTTTCAAACTTAAAAGAGTAAACTTGCTTTTGGAATAACACCAAGCAGTGACATTGTAAATTAAATAACACTCATTTTGTTTTTAAAACTTTTTGCTTTTGGCTACAAAAGAAATGGAAGAGAATTTGCTAGTGGATTTCACATCAGGGTTGACATTGCATCAAAAACCAGCTCGGTAAGTAAGATGTGTGACTAGAAAACCCCTTTTCTGGTTTTGTTTGTTTGTTTCTGTAACAAATAACACTGTGTTGTGTCTCTTGTTTAGCATGACAATAAGCGATCTGTATTCTTGGGAAACCTCTCGTATGGTAAGTCTAAAATGGATTGTTATGCATCCTTACTTAATATTTATGGAATATGTTGACATTCGGGTTTTTTTTATTTATTGATGTTTAGGATAGCATGTTTAGGTAGCTAAATATCTTGCTGGAATTCATTTTTTAAATAGCACTTTTACCTTTTAACTGAAACACCAAGAGGGGTTGTGAGTTTTTGGCAGGTTCAGCAGATTAATTGCTTGTTGTAGCTAGAACTGCAAGTACTTTTAGTTCTTGTTGTCACTTGGAGTTTTTTAAGTAAATATGACTAAATTGCATAGGCTGTAGCTTTCTAAGCTGTTAAATGTGTACTGGTACCTGCTTGTGGACCACTTCCAAGCGATACAAAGTGGTGGCTTCACATCTTGATGCTGTCTGTGAGCCACAGGGTGAGTGCTATTGGCGACCAGTTGTTACCCGTGTGGAGGTGCTGACTGTATGGCTGAGGTCAGTGCTTGATGAATATTCATCTGCTTCTGAGTAGATGCAGGGATCGCCATCAGGTGTGGTCTGTGTGAGGGTGTTAATGGAATCGGGGTCCTTGGGATGAGCATCTTGCATGGGGGTGGTGGTGTGGATGCGCAGATGGGCAGGATGGAGGCACGGCCTGTGCCTGTGGCCTGATGCAGAGCCGCTGTCAGGGACTGCTGACAGCAATGCTGAAACAAACAGGCTTTAGACTTCAGCCTAAAGCTTGACCTGTCTGAAAAACCTGGGTGGGTGACAAACCTGGTTGAGGTGATGTTACCAATGCCTGTGGTGTAGGGCTTGTGTCAGTACTGTACATTGTCTGTGGATCCTATGGAAAAAGCAGTTTGGACATTTGCTGTGCTCTGAAAATCACTTCAGCAGCTGGAACCTTCCTCAGCACTTCTAAGTCCTACTGCTGTAATTAAACCTGTACTATTAAATTCAGCTTCCCCCTCTTAGCACATTATACCCGGTCTCCAGGGATGAACCATAGTATGAGGCTTACCTTTACAGAGAAGAGAATAGCCTGTATTTTGGTGTTGGTACATCACACTTGTCTGTTGGCATAGGTGTGAGACTGACAAAGCTTCACAGGCCCAGCTGTTATCAGAGTAATTGAGTAGCAACTGTGGTTGGAAACGCTAAGTCCTTTCTGCCCCATTCAGCTAAAATTCAGTGTTCAGCCAATGAGTACTAGACTTCAAGAACTGCCAGCTCCAGCTCATTATCATCACCGTTAATTCTTGGAAAGAGATTCTGGTATAAGGAGGAGCTACAAAAATGTAGCAGTAATCTTAATTTCCACTATGATCAAATCATAAATGAAATTATTTGAAAAATTTATTTTGGTATTTGCCTTTATGCTGCTTTGTGATTTATGGTGTGCTCTTCAAAGCTAGGGAATTGGTGACTGTTGAAGTAAATAATAATGCAGACTTTATAAAGGACTAACTTGCTGAAATTTTTCTGAACTACTAATATATCTATATTTATATATTTAAATACATATGTTTGTGTACCTGACTATGGCAAATATAAAACATTTGTATTTGGGCCAGGCTTCTAAGGCTGTGTCTGACTGAAGCATTGTGCTTACCTGTAGACATCAGCGATGACTCTGTGCGAGAACACTTTTCTGTCTGTGGAGATGTAGTAGCAGTGCGCATTGTGAGAGACAGGAGGACTGGCTTGGGTAAAGGCTTCGGCTACGTTCTCTTCGAGGTACGTATGAATGGCGTGCTTCAGGACACTGGGAAGTCTTCAAAATCTGAATTGAGATTTGCCTTCATAGCTTCTAATTTTTTTTTAAATTTTAGTAGTTTTTTCTTATTTGTGTAAGACATTAAATGGTAGCGTTGTTGTGTATGTTAAAAGCAGCTTGGAAGACCAGTTCTGTGGAAGCAGATATGAAGAAAAGCTATAAAACATGGAGGTGAAAGACACTAACTTTAAGGGGGAGACTTAAAGGAGGGACAGATGAATTTGCTTGGTATAACTGCAATGTCCTCCCTTTTCTTATGAGTCAAAATATGAGTGGAATTCTTTCCTGCAGAGTTCCCTGTTTCAGGTTCAGTACAGCTTGCTTTCTCATGGCAGTCTCCCAGCCTCATCTTCCTTAGTTTGTTTCCTGCAGCCCAATAATTTCTTTTTTCCATTTTCTCCTTCATCTCTCTGCCTGTCTTTCATGTCTCACATAAGCTGTTTTATAGCCCATGTTCAAGTTCTGTGCCTCAGTGCGTGGGTGGTGGGGGTGTGCCGACATTTCTGAGCAGAGATGTTGTGTCATTCAATAAATAGAGCGGTTTGAGCACTCCTTGTCGTAATATCTTGCTTCCAAAAATTGAAGAAAAGCAACTATTTATTTGAAAGCAATCAGTTGGAAGTAACGCTGCTTTTAAACTGAATGTCTGTTCTTGTAGAATACGGATGCTGTACATCTTGCTCTGAAACTCAACGACTCTGTTCTGATGGGAAGAAAAATACGAGTGAAGCGGTGTGGAGAGAAGTGGAAAGCACCACAGAAAAGTCACAGTCAGCCTCGTGCTCCTAAGGACAGAGCTGCTCCCACACTAAAAACCAAGAGGTGCACAAATGATTCATTTGTTGGTGAAAAAGCAAACCCGTTAAAGAAGAACACCAAACCAAAAAGACTAAAAACTATTCCCAGAAATAAAGCTGGGAAAAACAAAAAGTCTTTTGATAAAAATCAAACGTATAACAGCGTTAATTATTCTTATAAAGATTGATGTATATAAGAGTTTTCTGTCATAAATTTTGTTTGCTAATACAGCTGTAGTTGTTCTCAGTGTTTGCTCCAGAGTGTTTGGCTTCTACTGGAGGCAGGACGAGGTGCATGCCTGTACCCCGCTGGCGGTGCCGATGCTGTCCGTGTTTGTTTCCGTGTTCCAGGGCTGGATCTCATCTGGCTGAAGCCCTGCTGCGGAGGTTGACGCAATTCTTTCTTCTGGAGTGGTGTGGAATTACTCAAAATGTCTACAGAAGGGGTGGCTTGTCTGCAGGCTTGGTCTGTCATGATGCGTATCATTACCTCGATAGTTGGTGGGTTTTTTTAACTGTTAAGCTGCTGTTTACAAGAGTGCAGCTGTATGCTGCTCTGCATCAAACGAAGCCTGGCCAGCAGGTTGAGGGAGGTGATTCTGCTCCTCTTCTCCACTCTGCTGAGACCCCACCTGGAGTGCTGCCTCCAGCTCTGGGGCCCCCATCATAAGAAGGAGGTGGACCTGTTGGAGAGAAGGGCTGTGAAGATGATCAGAGGGCTGCAGCTCCCCTTCTGGAAAGACAGGCTGAGAGAGCTGGGGTTGTTCAGCTGGAGAAGAGAAGACTCCGGGGAGACCTTATGGCAGCCTCCTAGAACCTGAAGGGGGCCTACAGGAGAGATGGGGAGGGACTCCGTATCGGGGAATTTAGCGATAGGATGAGGGGTAATGGTTTTAAACCGAAAGAGGGGAAATTTAGATGAAATATGAGGAAGAAGCTCTTTCCTGTGAGGGTGGTGAGGCACTGGAACAGGTTGCCTAGAGAAGCTGTGGCTGCCCCATCCCTGGAGGTGTTCAAGACCAGGCTGGACGGGGCCTTGAGCAACCTGCTGTGGTGGAGGTGTCCCTGCCCATGGCAGAGGGGTTGGAACTCGATGATCTTTACGGTCCCTTCCAGCTCTAACCTTTCTGCGATTCTGGGTGAGGGAGACCCGGCGCGCGCGGTGCCTGAGGCAGCGCGAGGCAGCGGCGGGAAGCGGGACCCGGCCCGCTGGCGCGTGCGCCCTGGAGGGCGGCCGGCTTCCCCCGCAGGCAGTGGAGAGGGCGCCCTCTGCCGCCGCTGTCTGATGACGCAAGCGGAAGTGCGGCGGGGTCCTTTCTGGCTGCCCGCTCGCCCCAAGGTGCCTGCGGAGCTCGGCGCCGGCCGCGCGGCGGGAGGGAGGGAGGGAGGGGG